GCTCAGCAGGGAGTCTGCTTCTCCCTCTGACCCTCCTCCCTCTCATGCTCTCTGTCTCTCATTCTCTCTCTCGCAAATAAATAAAATCTTTAAAATAAAATAAAGAAAAGAAAAAGAAGGGGAAAATACACTACTGGAATAGAAAACTGTTTGGAATTAGTTCCATAACTGAAATCATGGGATACCTCCCTGATGCAGTCAACAGTGCATAGGTATTACTTTCAAATCCGCACTGCTAGTTCAGCTGCTAACAAAAGCACTTCCAAGAACGAGTGCCCAGGCCGGCGCAGCCCGGGACCCAGAAGAGCAGGTCACGGTGCACTCCAGTGTGGCCAGCCAGGGAAGAGGAGGGGTTTCCCAGAGGAGGTGAGGCCGACAGTGATGCCTGGGAGAAGGAGGTGAGAGTGAATTCGGACTCTTTTGGAGCCAGAAGTCCAAGGTGTCTGGAACTCCGTGCTGGAACACCGCAGCTGGTGGGAGGCAATGTGGAAGGCACAGGGAGAGGCGGGATCCCAGAGGGCCCTGCAAGCCGCGGTTAGGAGACCAGACTTTATCCTCAGGGCAAAGAGAGCCAGTGCTTTAAGCAGGAGAGGGACAAGTGTTTGCTCTGGCTCCCCTAGAGGACGGAGTTGGGAGAGGTGAGAGACTGCGGCGGCCGGCCGGGTGGCAGGACTCCGGAAGCTGCACCTGTGATGGGTCGGGGCGGGGGGGCTGCGCCAACTCTGGACCTGGCGTCTGAAGGGAGGGGCGGAAGGGGGACGGCCCGGGAGGCCTGGGGGAAGGGAGTTCGTTACTGCCCCTTCCCCCATCACCTTCTTTTGGCCTCTTCCAGCCCCCTGCTCTGCCCCCATGCTTTCCAGCTGGACAGTCCCCTCTAAGGGATCCCTGCTGGATGGGAGTTCACCTCCAATCCTGCCTCCCTCCCCGCATTCCTAGTCTCAAGAAATGCCCACTCTTTGTGCCCTGCAGACGGCGCTGGGCTGACACGCCATCATGCCAGGCCCGCTCAGTCTCCCAACATTCTGCCATTTCCTTCTCCTTTGGGCCTTCGCCATCTTCCACAAAGCCCTGGGGGACACAGGTAAGACCTCAGCCCCGCCCAGAATTTGGGGAACGGTGGGGGGAGAGGCTCCGTGTGGGGAAAGTGGATGGGTCAGCTGTTGGAGGTGCTCAGGGAGGGCCATTGTTGAGTGCGCAATGGAGGAGACGGTTGGAGGAGTCTGGGGAGTAGAGTCTGAATGGGCACTTGCAGTGCGGACCAGGGGGTTCCTGCCACTGTGGCCCCCTCTGCTCAGCACCCCACCCTGGCCCCCACTACCTCCTGCCCCCCATCCACGAGGTCATTCACTCTCGTCGTGGGGCCACGGCCACGCTGCCCTGCGTCCTGGGCGCCCCGCCTCCCAGCTACAAGGTACGCTGGAGCAAAGTGGAGCCGGGGGAGCTCCGGGAAACTCTGATCCTCATCACCAACGGCCTGCAAGCCCGGGGCTACGGGCCCCTGGGGGGTCGCGCCAGGATGCGGAGGGGGCATCGGCTGGACGCCTCCCTGGTCATCGAGGGCGTGCGCCTGGAGGACGAGGGCAGGTACCGCTGTGAGCTTATCAACGGCATCGAGGACGAGAGCGTGGCGCTGACCCTGCGCCTGGAGGGTGAGGCCCTTGGGTTCCCCGCCGCCCCCTCCTCTCCTACGGGGCTTTGGCCGCGCCAGCTCGGGTGTCCCAGGGCTCCCGCCGCCCGCCGCCGGGGTCCCCCAGCCCTCTCCCGGGTCCGCCGGCCCTCTCCAGGATGTGCGCCTCCCGCCAGGTGTGGTGTTTCCGTACCAGCCCAGCCGGGGCCGCTACCAGTTCAATTACTACGAGGCGAAACAAGCGTGCGAGGAGCAGGACGGGCGTCTGGCCACCGACGCCCAGCTGTACCAGGGTGAGCGGCCGCCCCGCGCACCGCCCAGGCCTCTCCGGGATGTACCCGGCCCCGCGGGGGCGAGCTCCGGTCGGGCTTCTGAGGGGACCCCTCTAACCCCGGACCCCGTCTCCCCGTGCCCGCCAGCGTGGACCGAGGGCCTGGACTGGTGCAACGCCGGCTGGCTGCTCGAGGGCTCGGTGCGCTACCCGGTGCTCACGGCGCGCGCCCCGTGCGGCGGCCCGGGGCGGCCGGGGATCCGCAGCTACGGGCCCCGCGACCGGAAGCGCGACCGCTACGACGCCTTCTGCTTCACTTCCATGACCGCAGGTGAGGACGCGGGGGGGCAGGCGGGCGGCGGAGCGCGGATGAGAGCCCGCGCCTGCGGCTCCGACGGCGACGTGGGGCGGGTCTGGAGAACGCCGCGCGGGGTGAGATGCGCGCGTCCGGAGGGGGCCCGGCCTCGCCGTCGAGACCGCTCGTGGTGCCCTCCGTCGCGCGCCCGCCAGGCTCCCCCTCCCCCGCCCCACTGCGACCCCGCCTCGGTCCTGGGGAGGCTTCGGCCGGGCCGGTGGTGACGCGCCCCGCTCCGCAGGCCACGTGTTCTTCGTGCCCGGGCGGCTGACGCTGTCGGAAGCGCACGCGGCGTGCAGGCGGCGCGGGGCCACGGTGGCCAAGGTCGGGCACCTCTACGCCGCCTGGAAGTTCTCGGGGCTGGACCAGTGCGACGGCGGCTGGCTGGCGGACGGCAGCGTGCGCTTCCCCATCACGTCGCCGCGGCCGCGCTGCGGGGGCCTCCCCGACCCGGGCGTGCGCAGCTTCGGCTTCCCGCGAGCCCAGCAGGCGGCCTTTGGGACCTACTGCTACTCGGAGTAGGGCCGCCGCCGTCCCCGTCCCGCAGCCCACCACGGCCCGGGGTCCCGGCGGGCCGGGCGTCGGAGGGGAGGTGGCGACGCCTGGCGGGACCTCGGAC